CATCAGTAGCAGGATGGAGTTCTGGAATGAAGCTGTAACTGCTGGATTTGAAAACCAGGCAACATCTGCAGGGATGAGTGATAATGTGCCATGGAAAACCAGAATTGCTTTAACTGATGATTAAAAAAGAGGATATGATTAAAACAAGCTGATTAGATGAAACCAAAGTGACAAGACAAAGCAGCAGAGCATTCAAAAGGGGAGGGGGGGAGACACAACTGATGGCAGTAGGGCATGAATTATTGATTGAAATCTCCACCAGAAGTCTTTGCATTTTCTTATCTGGGAAGGGAGAGAATGAATGAGAAGTGAACAGAATTATTAAGCAGCTTTATCATTGCACTGGAGTGGATAATTAGGCAATTAGGATTACTAAAAGTTGGCAAAGCAAGAGGCCCTGAGGACTTGTGCTCCTGATTTCAGAGGAGGGTGGAGAGGGAAGCAGGGAAAAGCCTTTGGTGAGAGATTTGGGGGTGCCTTGGGGTGAGTGAGGCTGAAAGGCAGAGCCAGGCTCTGGCACCCAGCCCCTGCAGCTGCCAGGACAGAGAGGGGCACAGGAGACCTGGAAGGTGAAAAAGAACTTGTCTGAGGATGGCCAGTCCTTGGAACAGCAGCAGGGAGGGAGATCAGGAGTGAAGGCCTCAGCATTAAAGGGATCTGGACCTAAGTGAGTCCAGAGGAAACCACAAAGATGCTCTGAGGGCTGAGGACAGGCTGGGAGAGGTGGGGGGTGTTCAGCCTGGGGAAGAGAAGGCTCTGGGGAGACCTCAGAGCATTTTCTGATTTTGGGCATCCAGTGCCATGTACCCTCAGGTGTCACCTGCTGTCCCCTCCTGAGCCTCTGCCTGCATTGCCAGAGCCTGAGCTCCCAGAGGGGTTTTGCTCACGGGAATTGTGAGTGTCCCTTTGGGCCAGGTCCCTCCCAAAAGGGCCAGGCAGACACCACAGGCTGCTGTGCAAATGAGCCTCACTTCTTCAGCACCAGAGCTTCTGAATAGCTGGCTGCACATTTTGAAGGGGAAAGCTGGGTAAAACTGCCTAAAAATAGCACATTGCATCTGGGACTGTGTGAATCCATCCTGGGCTGCTCTGAGGCCAGTGCCAGATCTGTGTGCTCCTCCTCTGTGCTCCTGACTGGCTTAATCTTAAGCTATATGTTATTTAAAATTAATTTGCAGAGATGCAGACATTACATAAATCACTGAGGAAATGTCAGATTATGTATGTAATTTGCTGAAGTGCTCCACTCTCATCTTACTTAGATCCCCATGAAACCAAGGGATCAAAATTAAACTGAGGCAGAGTTTGGACCAGTCACCATCCTGAAAGTGCTGGGGAAGATGAGCCAGCACTGCAGACACTTGTTCAGTAATTCACACCCAGAGAGACTCTTGGAATTTCTTCAGGACATTCAGTGATCAGAGAAAAGAGGAATAAAGGGGATGATGAAAAATACATGGACTAGAGTATTTTTTACTAATTATTTGCTTGCCCTCATTGGCAAGTCACCTGGTGTTCCTGAAGAGAGCTGCATTTTCATGGGAAGGTGCCAGCCACAATGTTCCTCTCCCAAAACCAAGCCAGAATATTAATTATGGATTCTGTTGCATAATTAGAGTCTGAAGCCCAGAATTAATTGATGGTAGCTGCTTAGCATAGATATCAATTCCACCTTGGAATAATGCTCTGTCTCCTAGCCACACACAGGTGGGTAAATCACTGGAGCAGTGCGTGCTCAGTTTTGGTGGCACAGGGGCTTGTGATCTCCTGCCAGCTGTTAGAACAGTGCATTGGTGACATGAGAAGTGTTTGTAATTCATGGTAACCCAGTGCTCCTTGACTTGTCCTGCCCCAGCCTACCAGGGCTGGGACCTTGGCTGTGGCAGCTTGTCTTGGTTTGGAAAGACAGGAGTCTGCTAAGGAAGGCAGGAGCCTCCCCTGAAATGGAGAATGTAAACCCTCCCCACCCCTCTGAATTGCTATAAATTTTAAATTAAGGGGCTCTCAGGCAAAAAAAATATGGGAGCAGGAAATAACAGTTTTTTAATAGGGAAAGGGGAAAAAAAAGGACAAAATAAACAATGCAGTACACTAGAACAACACTGACAGAGTCAGAACCCAGCCTGACACCCTGTGGGTCAGGGTGTTGGTGGCAGCCCCATTGGAATTGTGGCTCAGCCCTCCTGCAGTGTCAGGGGTGGCTCTGCTGGAGCAGGGATCCTGTAGAAAAGGGTGAAGTCATCCTCTGAAGGTCCAGTGGAAGAAGAGGCAGCTGCTGTTCCTCTGGGGAATTCCATGGAGAAGGCCGTGCCCATGTCTCAAAAACCTCTGGATTATATCCAGGTAGGAATGCTTGGCTCCTCCCTCTGGGCTCACATCTCCCAATGGGATGCTGTAGTTCTTATCAGCCATGCAGGGACATTCCATGGCTGTTATCAGCAGATGTCCCATCCCGAGGGAGGTGTGAATGTGATCACTCAGAGAGAGAGATAAGGCAAACTGCCCACTTGGCAAAGGTAATCTGCCATACAGATGGCAATTGAAAACATCTTGCCTTGCAATCTTCAACACAGCTCCACACTCTCTGCTCCTTCCCAGTGCAGTCCTGCCAGGACATTGAGGGGTTTCTGACCTCCTGCCTGAATCTCATTAATTTGGGGCCATTATTTTCCTCTAGCAGAGCTCAAAGGCTGTGGCTGCATTGGAGCATCCCCTGGAGAGGCACCTAGTCAGGGAGAATCACCTTGGGATGTTTTTCCTGTGGCCTGGGTTGATTTCCAAAGGCACCTCACAGCTGAGTGCAAGGCTGGGTTTAATAACAAACAAATGTGTAACAGCAAATAAAGATTTGTACTATGGAGCTGCTGGGTGCTGCTATTTGGTGGAGCAGAGGGGAACAAAGCCAGCATCTGTGTTCATTAAAAATAGGTAATGGAATATTCTTAGCTCAGCCCCTGCCTCTGCCTTGGCAGAAATACTCTGGAGTTAATTGCTGCTGTTGTTCAGCTGCAGCAAAGTGGGTCAGCTATTGGTGAGATCACTGATCCCATGGAATTGTTGGGAGAGGTGTAAAAATAGGCTTTGTGCTGTGCTCAGCTGGGGTTTGGGCCAGCTGAGCACTGCAGGTGCACATGGGGATGCTGTCCCCAGGTCCTGTGGGTCTGCAGCTCTGTGGCTGAGCCACTGTCACCACTCCTGGCAGTGTCACACCTGGAACCCAGCCCAGGGCAGCCAGGGGTGTCCTTCCTCTCTGGGATTCCACTGGGAATCCACCCTCAAGCTGCACTAAGGGAAATACAGGTTGGATATCAGGAAAAAGAAAGGGTGAGAAAGTTCTGGAATTGTCTGCCCAGGGAGGTGGTGGAGTCCCCATCCCTGGGTGTGTTTAACAAAGCCTGGATGTGGCACTGGGTGCCAGGGGTGAGTTGAGGTGTTGGGGCTGGGTTGGACTCAGTGATCTTTAAGGTCTCTTCCAACCCAACCCAGTGATTCTGTGAATTCTGTGAATCCAGGGCATGCAAGCTTGGGCTGGCAGAGGAGGATTGTGGTGTCACCTTCATAAACTGAGTTTTGTATGGCTCAGCCTGTGCAGGCCAGGACTAATGGTGGGAAGAGCTGATAAAACAAAACCTCTCATCCTCTTCTAGTGCTGTGTGTGTCCCTCTCCTGGATAATTCATCTCTTTTTCTCAGCTCCCCATCAGAGATAAGTGCACCTGTGCCTCTTTCACAGGTGTTCACCTTTAGCTAATTTGGGATCCTTCTGTTAGGTGTTATCCCTCTGAAGGTGTTATGTTGCTAACACTTCAAAGGGAATATTCAAATGGCTTTGAACTTGTGTTGTATCTGAGACATGAAGTAGCCATTTGCTGCTGGCCCTCCTGTGCCCCCTCCCCACTCACAGAAAGGCTCCTCCTTTCAGAAGGGTGCTCTGAGTGATGCAGACACTGACATCGCTAATTCAAGCTTTGAAGGGACGTTTCATAACAAAGCAGGCTTGGAGATCAGGTCTAAATCCATAAACTTTGTTACATTTGGGATTTAACATGCCCTAGAAGAAATATCCCTCAGAAGGATGTTGCTGCATCCAAGAGGCCCCTGTGCCTTGAGCATTGTCCTCTTGGAGAGATGAGAATCCTTGAAAAACCACACTTGCTGAGCCCCCAAAACCCCAATATTTAACTCTTTATTGCCTCTTACCCATGAGTAAGAATTTGTTAAAATCCCGGTGGATCCTTTTGGGCATTTTGCCTCGGGGCAGTGCAGACACACCAGTGCCCTGTGGTGTTTGTGACCCCTGCACTCACTGCTGAGCCCTTGCAGCTCTTTGAGATCAGTGAATATTCCATCCCAAAGCACCTGCCATTACACACTTTTAATTCCCAGCTGTCATATTTCAGATTTTATTTAACTGTCAGGAGAAGAAAGTCACAGTGCTGGCAGTATAAATTTGCTTGGGTTGGTGATTTAGCCCCTCCAGTGCCATCCCACTGGATGGAGGCTTCCCAGAGCAGGCAGTGGCTATTCCAGAAAAGCAGGGCAATAAAAGGCAGTGAAAAACACATTTTTAGCCATCATTACAAATTATACAAAATTCAGGGGAGAATATCCACATAGAGGAGGCCAGGGGAAGGAAATAACTGCACTGAAAGGTTTTCTCCTGGTCAGACACCCTGCTGTGTGTATGAGAAGTGATGGTCAAAAATCCACAACATGAAATACTGCTTTTTCATTTTTTTATTTTTTATTTTCCTTTTAAAATCACTCTGAAAATAGTGAATTGCTCAGGCAAAGGTGAGCTGTTTGCCTGCCAACTCCAAGAGTTTCTTGTGTTGATTTGCTGCATTTGCTTTTTCTCATGAATGAGAAAAGAGGAAACCTAATGTTCAGCCTTATCAGCTTGTCAATTTAATTGCTGTCTATTTTAATGTTATCACTATCATTTGTTACTAATTAATAGAAGCAACATGATTGCAGCTTTTATTTTTCCTTATTTTTCAGTGAGAAGCTGGATGGAGAAGCTGAAAGATAAGGTAGGAGGCTCAGTGTTTCAGTTCCTTTCAAAGCAAAACCATTTTTACTTGCAGGAATAAATAAATTCTTGTCAGTGCAGTTCTTTATCTCCATACAGACAGTTGAGAAAGGGCTTAAAATTTTCTCTGAGAGGCAAATGAGCCAGGTGCTGCTGGTATAGAGTGGTGTGAATGCACAAAAAATCCCTGATGGGTTGGAACTAAGGGCAGGAGGGACAGAAGTGTTTGATTGATTTCTCTGCACCAGAAAATGACCTTGTCAGATAACCCAGGTTGCTTTTTTTTTATTTCCCCTTAACTCATCCTAGAATAGTTTTGGTGGGAAAGGACCTTTGGAAGTCCATCTAGCCCAGCCCCTCTGCACTGAGCAGGGATATCTTCACCAGACCAGGTGTTTAGGACCCTCTCCAGCCTGACCTGGAATGTTTCCAGGGACCCCAAGGTAAAGAACTTAGTTCCACCCCTTTTCTCTCTGTGCTGAGCTCAGCTCTGGATCCAAATCAAGAGGTGCTGCTCTCTGGTGAGAGGCTGCCTGCCATGCCAGTGCTTCTGCATGAGGCTTACCCCACCTCCACGTGCTGCAAATCCCTGCAAGGAGGATGATCAAACACAGCAAAGCTGATAAACAAGGTTCCAGACCTTGATCCTTCCTCCCTGGCATCCCAGGGGCTGCTCCATGCATCCAAGAGCTGTGCAGCCACAGGCACTGATGGCTTTTTAGGCTCTGCTGCCCTGGAGCAAATATTGACATTTCAGAATGGTTGTGAAGCTTTCCAAGCGTAGTGTTGCTGGCAGCAGAGCCATGAAGCTGGAAATGAGGTGACAGCAAGAACATTTTGTGACTCGACAGGCCTTGGAGATTCTTGAAGAGGGTCAGAGTCAGTAGAAACAAAAACCATCTCAAGCAGTGGGAGTGATGTCTGCAAAGCCATCCCTGAACTTAAGCAGACTCACCCAGCCAGCCCAGCCCTGCCTCTGCTCCACACCAAATTCCAGCAGCACTTTGATCATCAGGTCAGAGCAGAGAATCAGGGCCTTGGTGTCTGTTCTTGTCTTGGTTTGGAAAGACAGGAGTCTGCTAAGGAAGGCAGGAGCCTCCCCTGAAATGGAGAATGTAAACCCTCCCCACCCCTCTGAATTGCTATAAATTTTAAATTAAGGGCTCTCAGGCAAAAAAAAAAATATGGGAGCAGGAAATAACAGTTCTTTAATAGGGAAAGGGAAAAAAAAAGGATAAAATAAAACAATGCTGTAAACCAAAACAACACTGACAGAGTCAGAACACAACCTGACACCCTGTGGGTCAGGGTGCTGGCAGCAGTCCCATTGGAATTGTGGCTCAGCCCTCCTGCAGTGCCAGGGGTGGCTCTGCTGGAGCAGGGATCCTGTAGAAAAGGGTGTAGTCATCCTCTGAAGATCCAGTGGAAGAAGAGGCAGCTGCTGTTCCCCTGGGAAATCCAGTGCAGAAGCTGTGCTGGTGTTCCAGAATCTCCAGATTATATCCAGGCAGGAATGCTTGGCTCCTCCCTCTGGGCTCACATCTCCCAATGGGATGCTGTAGTTCTTATCAGCCATGCAGTGACATTCAATGGCTGTTATCAGCAGATGTCCCCTCCCGAGGGAGGAGTGATTGTGGTCACTCAGAGAGAGAGATAAGGCAAACAGCCCCCTGACAAAAGCCATACAGATGGTAATGGAATACATCTTGCCTTGCAACCTGGAACAGTTCTGCAGGCCTGGGGGGTGGGAGGGTTTCAGGTGGGCTCCTGCCCAGCCCTGCTGAGTTGCCTTTCTGCCTGCACTAGGAAGGAGGCGAGTCTAGAGCCAGCCTAGAGTCCCCTTGGCCTGGGCTTCATCCAGAGCAGATGCTGAAAGGACAGAGAATGGTTTTCCCAGCCAAGGTAAAGAGCAGCCCCCAGGCTGGCTGTGTGCCTGGAGGGATTGCAGCATGCCCAGGGCACTGCTCATGCCAGCACGTGGCACAGCACAGCTTGGGGACATCAGTGGCTTCTCCCTGAAGCTGTAGCTTGTCTTTCCTCTTGTCACCTTGTTGGCCACCTCTGTCCTTCCCTGTTGCAGAGGGACTGCATATTCCTGTCTCCAGCAGAGCTGTGGAGAGTTTGAACCTCGTGCAGGCAGACCCTGGGCTGTGGCAGTGCCCAGCTATCACCAGCCAGGGGCTGTGCACAAATCACAAATGGGATGGGACTGCTGGGAACAGCCTTGAGCTGGTTTATTTTCCAGCATCAGCCTCATTGCATGGTTATGACAATGGGAAGATGCCATCAGCAGACCAAGAACTTAATGCTACACCTTACTTTAAAAGCTTTTTTGACCAATCACACAAAGCAAAAGCACATTGACAGTAGTTCTATCCAACCACTATAAGCACACATACCTTTGGTTAAAACAATCCTTGCTTATTTCAAATACAATACCTGCTTGTGAGCCTTAAAAGACAATGCACAGAGTTCCTTATTAAGCTTCAAACTTTCTAATATCTCACCAGACATACTTTTCTGCAGCTTAGGGAGTTATTCTAGACAAGCTTTAATACACAAACCATTGTTCTATTTGTCCTTACTTTTCTACTTTTTACATAATTTGTCTGCTGACCAATCTTTTGGCTACTGATCAGCTCTAATCACAGTTCTGCTGTCTCTGAGGCCTGCCTTTTGCAGCTTTCCCAAAACCTCTGATTTTATGGATTCCCACAGCCAGCACAAGCACTGCTGTCACTGAGGATCCACTGGTGTCCACTCCAAAGAGAGACTCACTCCTGAGCCACCTCCCTCCTTTGGGATCTTTCACCTGGTTCACATCTTTCCTTAGAAAAGCCCAACAAAAAACACTCCCCCTCCACTCCCAACCAGTTGCTGTTATCACAAATCACTTCCAAATAAATCTGTTGACCCCATTCCCTACTCCTCCTAATTGAGTTTATCAGCACCAGTCTGTGTGCCCCTTTCATTTGCCCCATCCTCTGTTTTATAATCCCTCCACCCAGAAAAGAATTCCAGCACATCTCTGAGAGAAATGTCCCTCCCTGTCCCTCAGGTGTGGCTGTGGGACCAGGAGCCCAGGGTCAGGGACAGATTTATGTCTGGTTTCCTGCAATCACTGTGCAAATGCTGCATTTGGTGGGGCAAATAATGGACATGGAGTTCCTCTCAAGTTCTCTTGCTATTATCTCAAAGCCCAGCAGGGCCAGGAAAGTCCTGAGCATGGATTTGGTGTATTAAAAGCATCCCTAAAGAAGCTACATCTTCCCCATAAAGGGGTGAAAATGTGGCTTTGGCCTGTGAAATGGGGTTTTCTATCAAGAAAGTGCAGAAGCCCTCAGAAGTTGGGCTGCAAGACACAGAAGGGCTGGGTTTGCATCACATCACAAGTTTTTGGGGTATAAAACACTGATCTGGGGCCTGGGGGAAACCTGTAAAAGGCCGTGGGCTGGTCAGGTGTGACAAAGGCTCACAGACAGGCTGAGGAGCTCATTGTGATTTCTGATATGGAAACTCAGCTGGGCAGCAGCTCAGAGCCATTTGCAGCCTCCCCTCACTGTCCATGCCAGCAGCAAAGTTCCAGAAATAGAAAACCCCACGCTGCACTAATTAGGTCACCCAATTAAGGCACCTTAATTGCCTCACAGAGACACAGCCTTCAGCTGTGTTCTCACTCAGCTCCTTTTTTGGGAGCTGGGCTCAGGCTGCAGCCCCTTCCCAGCACCTGAGCTGAACAGGGCTGGCTGTTCTGGGAGAGGGTTCAGGGCATCTGAACGATGCAGCTGAAGATCCCTCGAGCTTTGGGATCCACACACAGAGGAGCTGCTGCTGTCTAAAGCACTGAGTAGGACCTGGAGGGGCTTGGGGGAGCAAACCAGCCCTCCCTGGGGGAGGAGGGAGCAGCCCCCAATGGGGATCCATAGAAAAGGATCTGGTGCTGCTCTAAGCCAAAAATCTAATCTAATCTAAAATTCCAATCCAAACCGTGAACCCAAACCCTGATCCAATTCTAATCTGAATCCTGACCCAAACCCTGATCCAATTCCAATCCAAACCTGACCCAAACCCTGATCCAATTCCAGCCCAAACCCTGACCCAATTCTAATCTGAATCCTGACCCAAACCCTGATGCAATTCCAATCCAAACCTGACCCAAACCCTGATGGAATTCCAGTCCAAACCTGACCTAAACATGACCCAAACCCTGATGGAATTCCAGTCCAAACCCTGACCCAAACCCTGATCCAATTCCAATCCAAACCTGACCCAAACCCTGATCCAATTCCAATCCAAACCCTGACCCAAGCCCTGATCCAATTGGTGCCTGCCCCAGATGAAAGCAGTTATTTTCATTCTCTCCAGGTAAGTGTACACAGGCAGGCTAGTGCACCTGAACAGCTTTTTTTAAATTTTTTTTTTTAATTTCCTCCCACTCAGTGGATTATGGAAGAGAAGTAATTATGGTGTGTGTGCTGTGTTGTATTTTGATAGCATAGATGAAGGCAGGTGGTTGTAAGCAATGGGCTGAGTCTTGTTGGGAGCTGTCTGATAGTCCTCACAATTGGTGCCTGTGTCCCTTGGCAGGTGTAAAATCCATTTTTGGGGGGTGTAGCAGGCAGAGGGTGAAGCTGTAGTGGCACAGCAGAGGACTGTGGCTGCAGGGTGAGGAGAGGCAGAGCTACAGAGGGGAGCAAGGCTGTACCTGCCTCCTTTGCAATGCTGAGCCCACCTGCCCAAATTAGGTGAGGATTCTGAGGCAATACTTTAAAATTTAGGTTCCTTTTCATTTAAAGCAGTAATATATAAAATAGCAAGCACTTGGGAATATTTTCCTAAGGATTTAGAGTGCTTAGATGTGTAATTTTAGATTAGCCATGTTGTCTGTATTTTTTGTTTTAATGGCAGTGCAAACACACTGATCACAGCAATTAATTAGGGCTGGTTAATTTTGCTGTGCTCCCCTTAAGGCCACCTGAGGGTGTGAGTGCCCTCCCTCTGTGTCACCATCCTGCTGCCATGCAGGGGACACCTTCCCATGTGTGAAAAACGCCAATCACTTGTTTTTTAAAATTTTAAAAGTTTAATAATAATAAAACAGTTCTAAAATAGCAATTTAATTAGAGTAATAATAATTTGGACAGTTTGGATTAGGACAACATGAGACAATAAAAACAAAGAATTTCAGACAGTCTGGGTACCTTTTCTGGGCAAAATAAGCCCAAAAAAGGACCCACGTTAACAGAGGATTAACCCTTAGAAACAACAGCCTGTTGCATATTCATACACCTCATACATGATGCATAAATTCCATTCAAACACAGGATTCTGTCTGGGCAGTGTCAGCTTCTTCCTCTGAATCCTAACAGCGTCTTCAGAGATGAATGATGCAGGAAGAAGTTCGTTTCTTCTGATAATGGAGCAATAAATTCTCTTTCTCTGAAAGATTCAGGTGTCCTGTGGCTGCTATCTCGCTGCGAGTCCTTTCTTTAAAAAAAGTATCTTACATAGCATAGTTTCTATTTTAACATTATGCTATAACCTAAAACTATATTTAACACACTACTTGAGAAAATTAACACAGCATAACTTTGCTAACATAACACATAAAATATTCATTTTAATATTTGCACAAAGCCAATCATAAAACATGCATTTTTCACACCATGCAAAGCCAAAGTGTTTGGCTCAAAGATTTTGAGTACAAAGCTGAGGAGGCCTCGAGATCACCTTCCTTTGGCAGCCAAGGTTTTCCTTCAAAACAAAAAACACTCCCAGCTAGTTGCTGGTGTAGCAAATCACTTGCAAATAATTGACCCCATTCCCTCCTCTTCCTAACTGAGTTTATCAGCATCAGTCTGTGTGCCCCTCTCATTTGCCCCATCCTCTGCTTTATAATCCCTCCACCCAGAAGAGGATTCCAGCACACAGTGGCCCATCTCTGAGAGTTATGTCCCTCTCCTAAAGGCAGGCAGTGCAGGGTCTCAGGTGTCACCAGTAAATATGTGTCAGGGAAAGCTGAGTTGTGCTGGTGACCAGCTTGGTCCTGGAGTGGGAATCATCCTGTGCAGGAAGGTGAGGGGGGCTCAAATCCATTAAACTTTGAGGAAATCACCATAGGGATAAATTGCAGTCCTTGGCTGGTGAAAAATGGTTTTGGGAGTGATGCTCTGCTCCTCTCTCCTCCATTTAGGCAGGATACATGTCAGGGATGCTGGTTCCTGTGGGAGTTGGAATAGCTGGAGCTCTCTTCATCCTGGGGGCGCTCTACAGCATTAAGATGATGAATCGCCGGAGGAGAAACGGCTCCAAGAGGCACAAAAGGAAGGTATGGAGTGTGAAAAACGCCAATCACTTGTTTTTAAAACTTTAAAAGTTTAATAGTAATAAAATGGTTATAAAAATAGTAATATAATTAGAGTAATAATAATTTGGACCATTTGAATTAGGACGATATGAGACAACAAATACAAAGAGTTATGGGAGTCCGGGTACCTTTTCTGGACAGCATGAGCCCGAAAAAGGACCCACGTTAACAGAGGATTAACCCTTAAAAACAACAGCCTGTTGCATATTCATACACCTCATACATGATGTATAAATTCCATTCAAATACAGGATTCTGTCTGGTCATTGTCAGCTTCTTCCTCCAAATCCTATTGGTGCCTTCGAGACAGGAAGAAGTTCATTTCTTCTGATAAGGGAGCAATAAATTCTTTTTCTCTGAAAGATTTGAGTGTCCTGTGGCTGCTATCTCGCTGCAAGTCCTTTCTTTAAAAAAAGTATCCTACAGAGCATAGTTTCTATTTTAACATTTTTTAATAACCTAAAACTATATTTAACACAGTTCTTAAGAGAATTAATACAATATTACTTTCTAACACAACACATATAATATTCACTTTAATATTTGCGAGAAGCCAATCATAAAATACCTGCATTTTTCACATGGAGACTGCCAGGGGAAGGTATGGAAACTCTGAACCCTCCTGGCTGGAAATCAAACTCAGCCTGGCTGGGGTCTGTCTGAGCTGGGGCACCTTGGTTATGGGATGGGGGCATCCGAATTCTCTCCTTTTGGTTCCTTTTTGCAGCTCTCTGATGTTTGTTCTCCTCCCCCAGCAGAGGGAATTTAACAGCATGCAGGACCGAGTGATGCTCCTGGCCGACAGCTCTGAAGACGAATTTTGAGTGGAACTGCAGTGCCCTTGGGAGAGAGAGCCCGTGACTTTTAGAGGAGGGAGAGAGGGGGAGGAGAAGAACAAGCGACTTTTCTGCTGCTGCAGCGCTGCTCCCTCGGCTGCCCCGGGCAGGGGTGTGTCCCCAGCCCAGTGACAATGACAATGACAATGCTATGCTCTACGTGTGCCACCCGTGGTGTTTGTTTTGATACAGTAGTGGAGATCTCACACTCACCCTCGGCGCCTCATTCAGAGCCACAGCTGGAGCTGATCCATGTGGATGATTATTTTCCTCTTGCCCTGGTGTACTGTTTTGGTCCTGGCTGGCAGTAATCTAATCATAACAATAGCTCTCACCCATCCCAGGAATGGAAATCTTTACTGTGAATGACTTCTGTCCAATTCATTTTAAATGTTACATTACCTGAGCTAGAGTTCCTTAGTGCTAAGATTAGCTGCTCTGCTTAATTAATGAGTTGTAAGCCTGGCCTGTACCCCTGGCTGCCAGAGAAGTGCCCATGTACAGGGTTCTTGATACAGTTTGAAGCACATTTCTGCCCTTGGGTGCCCCCACTCTCACCCTTTCTTCCTTCAGCTCTGCTCCACACTGCTTGGAGACACACAGGAATGGCCTCAGCATTGATTCCACCACCACATTCCCTGTCCATTTCCAACCAGCACTGTCTGTTACAGCACAATAAATACCAGCACTCATCTACTGATGGCTGCTCTTGCTGCATCTCTTGGCTTTTGCTCAGTGTGCAAGGAGGTGAGAGAAGAGGCAGGTCAGAGACTACCCCAGCTTCTGCCTCCTCTTGGAAGGACACTAGCTCCAGGTTCTTCTCTTTCCAAGGCTGCATTCCCATAGGGATAAGGGTGGAGCCTCTGAACCCCTTTACCCCACTGGAAAATGCATTTTCAGCCCCTGAAAGCTGCATGAACCACAGCACCTTTGGGGGATCTGGATGGGTCTTGTCTCACAGAACCACAGAATTGTTTGGGTTGGAAGGGACTTTCAAGGGATCTGTTTCCAACCCTGACACCTTCCACTACCCCAGGTTGTTCCAAACCTTGTCCAGTCTGGCCTGGAAAACTTCCAGGGATGGGGCAGCCATGGATTCCCTGGGCCACTGGTGTCCAAACCATGGAATTCAGAAAGGCACTAAAGCTTGGGGAGCAGGTGCAGTCACTGTTGAGGGATTTGGGGTTAACAGCGGGAAAACAGCAAGAGCTGGAGAGATGTCAGCTCTGGGGGGTGAGGTGACCCCATTGGGAACCTTGGCTGTGGGGAGAAAGGTGAATCCATGGCACAGATGGGTGCAGGGGGTTGTGGAGGTGCCTTGTTAGTCCCAAGTACTGAGGGACACAGTGCTTGAGGTGTCACAGGCATTGAGCAGGGGAGGATAATGCAGCTTTGCCCAGAAATGCTGTCAAAACAGCCAGGAAAAGGGCTGCACTACTCTGCTTCCCACTGTGGAATTACTTCAACCTGACATGCAAAACATCCATGTTTCTGAAGGGGGAATCCATGTTTCTGAGGAGGGAATCCAAGTTTCAGAGGTGGGAATCCATGTTTCTGAGGGGGGAATCCATGTTTCTGAGGTGGAATCTATGCTTCTGATGTGGGAATCCATGTTTCTCAGAGGGAATCCATGTTTCTGAGGGGGAATCCATGTTTCTGAGGAGGGAATCCATGTTTCTGAGGGGGAATCCATGTTTCTGAGCAGGAATCCATGTTTCTGAGGTGGAAATCCATGTTTCTGAGGGGGTAATCCATGTTCCTGATGAGGGAATCCATGTTTCTGAGGGGGGAATCCATGTTCCTGAGGTAGAATCCATGTTTTTGAGGGGGGAATCCATGTTCCTGAGGTGGGAATCCATGTTTCAGAGGAGGGAATCCATGTTTCTGACATGGCAATTCATGTTTCTGAGGAGGGAATCCATGTTCCTGAGGTGGGAATCCATGTTTCTGAGGGGGAATCCATGTTTCTAGGGGGTAATCCATGTTTTTGAGGGGTAAATCCATGTTCCTGAGGTGGGAATCCATGTTTCTGATGTGGAAATCCAAGTTTCTGAGGAGGGAATACATGTTCCTGAGGTGGGAATCCATGTTCCTGAGGGTTAATCCATGTTTCTGATGTGGAAATCCAAGTTTCTGAGGAGGGAATCCATGTTTCTGAGGGTTAATCCATGTTCCTGAGGGTTAATCCATGTTTCTGAGGGGTAATCCATGTTCCTGAGGGTTAATCCATGTTTCTGAGGGGGAATCCATGTTTCTGAGGGGGAATCCATGTTCCTGAGGTGGGAATCCATGTTTCTGACGTGGAAATCCATGTTTCTGAGGGGGTAATCCATGTTTCTGAGGTGGGAATCCATGTTCCTGAGGTGGGAATCCATGTTTCTGATGTGGAAATCCATGTTCCTGAGGTGGGAATCCATGTTTCTGAGGTGGGAATCCATGTTTCTAGGGGGTAATCCATGTTTTTGAGGGGTAAATCCATGTTTCTGATGTGGAAATCCAAGTTTCTGAGGAGGGAATCCATGTTCCTGAGGAGGGAATCCATGTTTCTGAGATGGGAATCCATGTTTCTGAGGTGGGAATCCATGTTTCTGAGGGGGAATCCATGTTTCTGAGGAGGGAATCCATGTTCCTGAGGTGGGAATCCATGTTCCTGAGGTGGGAATCCATGTTTCTGAGGGGGAATCCATGTTTCTGAGGAGGGAATCCATGTTCTGAGGGGGAATCCATGTTCCTGAGGTGGGAATACATGTTTCCGACGTGGCAATCCATGTTTCTGAGAGGGGAATCCATGTTTCTGATGTGGAAATCCAAGTTTCTGAGGAGGGAATCCATGTTTCTGAGGAGGGAATCCATGTTCCTGAGGGTTAATCCATGTTTCTGAGGGGTAATCCATGTTTCTGAGGGGGTAATCCATGTTTCTGAGGTGGGAATCCATGTTCCTGAGGTGGGAATCCATGTTTCTGAGGGGGGAATCCATGTTTCTGAGGGGGAATCCATGTTTGAGGTGGGAATCCTTGTTTCTGAGGGGGAATCCATGTTTCTGAGGTGGGAATCCATGTTCCTTAGGTGGGAATCACTTTTCTGTGGGGAATCCATGTTTCTGAGAGGGGAATCCATGTTTCTGAGGTGGGAATCACTGTTCTTTGGGGAATCATCCTTCCTGCAAGGAACAGTGTCTGTTGCCAGAGGAGAAGTGAGCAGAAAAGCAAGGGCAGACCCCACATCTGCTGAGATTCAGTCCCTCTGAGCCTTTGGAGAGGGAGGGGTGGTTGAGGAGGGGCAGGAGCAGGATTTGGTTCCCTGTGGAGGTGGAAAGGTCTGTCAGATGGTGGGGAATGTCTTGTGGAAGTGTCAGTGGGATTGCAAGGCAGGGAGGACTTTCAGGAGCCCCTCCTGAGGTGAGCTCTCTCTTGAGAGGGCCAGGGCCTGCTCTGGACATTAAATCACCAGATGTGATGGTCAGCTCTGGACAAGCCCTGCCCAGCAGAGCCCAGGTGCTCTCCTGAGCCTGTGACACCCACTGGGTCACCTGGACAAGGACAGCCTGGTTCCAAAACGCTGCTCCAATGCTCAGTCTTCCAATCCAGCAGCTGTGTGTGGTACCTCAGCCATCCATCCTGTGGGTGCATGGGGAGCAGGCTGGGGAGACAACATTTTTGGGGGTGAGGGGTCTTCATACCCCCCAGATAGGGCTCCACAGTGCATGTCTCCCTTTCTGTTCCTGAAATATCATCCAGGAGGGTTTTGCCTTGCTAAAAGCAGCCCCACATCTTTAACAGGTACTGACTGGCAATACACCATGAAATCCAAAATTCAGTCCTCTTTCTCACTTGGTTACTCCAAGTTAAGATGAAGTTTTCCCTCCAGAGTGATCTCTCCCTATTTCCTGCTGGTTCCTAAGTCTGTTGGAGCTTGGAGGTGCTTGGGAGGTGTTACCAGTCCAGGGATCATTCCTTCACTATTGGGGATTAGGAAATATTGTCCCTTGGGCTCTTTGATGATTTATTCCCTGTAAGGCATGGTGGGGATTGCAAAGTGGACACCTGATGAAATATCTGATAAAACAGAGCTGCTGGGTCAGTCAGGAGGAGGAGGAGGAGGAGGGATGGCTGAGGAAGGCTGCTGGTTTAAGTAGCTCAGCTCTGGCAGCTCTGGAGGATCCTTATGGATGGGCTGCCAGTTTGATGGATTGGGAAGGCAGGTGGGGAGGTGCTGTGGCCTTTTGTTGTGCTAATAAATCCCCAGTTTGGGAAACACTGCCTTTCTGCAGGGGCAATCAGTTTCCCTGTCTCTCCTCTCCCTCTCCAGCATAATGAACCTGAGGAATTAAAGGCAGCACTGCCAGTCAGAATGATGGAAGTGGGGTTTTACTGCATCTCTGGGGGGCCTGGTGTCCTCAGAACCAGAGAGGACATGGCAGGGGTGGCTTGGATGCTGCAAGTCCACAAGGAAGGGAGGCCCAGCTGCCTGCACAGTTCAGTGTGGGCTCTCTGGTCTCTGCTGGTGACAGGATTAGGAGTTAGGTGGGTTTCCCAAAGGTTTTTCTTGTGATCTGTCTGCACTGCCAGGCCTGACTCTGGCTCTGAAATGCTTCACCCAAGGATGGGACCTGAGCACTGCTGGCCATTTGGAGGGGAGCTTTCTGTGGAATAGTTGGTTTTGGTCATCCCTGGAGGGTCCCCATGTATTCATCTTGAACTGGAAGCAAGGAGGGAAGTCAGAGCCAGCTGTGGCTCCAGAGAAGTTTGTGGGAGCCCCGGGAGCTCAGAGTTTTCTGCAGTGTCTGCAGGTCCTTGAAGCACCAGCACCACTCAGCCCCTTCCCTTCTCATTCAAGGCCAATAGGCTTCAGATTGGGCACTTAAAAATATCCTCTACACAGCTCCTGGAGTTGGATCCATTCTCTTGGAATGACCAGGTGGCAGCAGGGAGGGGATGGGGGGTTCAGGTGGGGGCTGGAGCTCCAGTGGCCTGACACTGCTGGTTGACTCTTTACCTCTGCCTTGCCAAACCAGCAGCTTCTTTTGGAAGAGGCAGGGCAAGGAAAGCAGCCAAGAAGGGCCTTCCTCATCCTCAGTGCTGGGTGAACTGCAAGGCCCTGAGTGCTGAGGGTGGTGGCATTGGCACAGCAATGTCCCTGCAGCAATAACAACCCCTGGACTCCACACAGGACCAGCCACTCACCTCCCTTTTGCATTCTCCTGATAGCAAAAGGCAGAATTTCCTTCCAGGCACTGCACAGCAGCTTTGGCATCTCCAGCCCCACTTCTGACAGAAGGAACCAGCCTGGCAGTTCTTGCCCCCTTGGAATGACCTCCACCACACAGCTGCTGATCCCTGAAGGTGTCTCTGAGGCCAGATGTTCACCCTGGTGAGGCTGCTCTGGACTGCTCTGCCTCCACAGAGAGCTGTGAGCAGTCCCTGTGCTTCCTTGTGGTTTCCTCTTGTGGACAGGAGCAGCTCCTTACCCTGTAACTATGGAATGTAGCACTTTGTTAAAGGAAAACATTGGGAAATAAAAAGCTGTCCATCAGAGCTGACTGTGAGTGCCTGTCTCCCTGATCTGTGGTCCTTCAGTGTCCCAGGCAAAGGTGTGAAGTGATGCTTGGAGGATCTGAGTGTTGTGTTTCTTTCTCCAGGCTGCATTGGCGGTGCAAGGACTCAGGCTGGGCTTGCAGGGGTCACAGGAGCCATGGG